TCTTAAAGATTTTTATCAAGTCATGATTATGACACTTCTCTGAAGCTTATTTTATAAAACAATTACCAATCTCTTTAAACTGAAGAAATAGAAATATATTTATATTATCTTCATAAAACTGTACCTGGAAAGCATTTGTGCTTGTCTTATTAATAGCCTCATTCTGTTTTGAGCTGTAGTTGTATGTACATATCACTTGCTAGTCTAGTCACTGAAGCTGTTGCCTGAGTGTTGGTCCATAACAGAGTTCAGGGCCTGAACTCTGTAACAGAATGTCACCATAGCTAAACTCTTCATTCCTGTTTAAATCTAGTTTCCAAGATATAAAGTGATACAACCTTTCTAGTTGTCAGTTGGTGATAACTGCAAGGGCCTCAAGATCACATGGGAAGGGCAGTAATGAGGAGGCATAAATAGGCAAAGTGACACACATGTATATATACTCCACTTTCCTCCACCCACTAAGTAATGAGGTGCATCTTCACATACCTACAATTAAACCAATGGAATATAAAAGTATGATTCAATTTTCACATCCATAATATGTAATATTATGTAACCTTTAAAATGTTGTTAAAACAATGAGATTATTTTGTCTATGAGAGTAGAAAAACTTAAAAATAATGATACCAAGTGTTGGCAATATGAAGAATATATGAAGAAATAGACATTCATGCTCCATGAGTTGAGGCTGGTGAGATTCATTTTGAAGCTCAGTTGGGCAAATAAGAATTGGCAAATATCCCATGACAAGAAGAAAAGCAGGCTGACATCCAAGAGCTGGCCCAGCACTCACAGCTAGGCCTTGATGGTCTCTCATTGAATAGAAACAATTTCACAGAACATTAACATTAGACCAGGCTACTCCATGAATGTCATGTATCAAGACAAAAGCAAGACTACTCTGTAATCATGTATTAACACAGAAAATCATTGTCCCAATTATAAAAATGATGAAATATCCCCCCTGCCCCCATTCTGGCTAATATTAGTAACTGCTGCTTCTTTACCAATGATAACTTTGGTATTCCTCACCTATAGAATAAGATTTATTTAAATACCAAATCATAGAATTACTCGTGCTTCCCAACTGCTCTCAATCTACAACAAAGCCTCACTTTCTTAAACTCTCCACCAAATCACCTAACACGCCCAAATCTTATAAGTCACTTCTAAAACCATCTTACTGAAGCACCCCATGATTCCCCATTCATTGTGTGTTCTCACTCACTGCAACAAGAAACCCAACTTGTTCAAATACAGGCATGTTCCTAGTGGTCTCTGGCTAAAGGGCACAGCCATTTATGATCTCTGACAAAGCAGTTCCGCTGCAAGGAATTTATCATTTGAAATATTCAGAAGGCTGGGCATGGTGGCACATGCCTATAATCCCAGCTACTCAGGAGGCTGAGGCACAAGAATTGCTTGAACCCTGGAGGTGGAGGTTGCAGTGGGCCTAGATCATGTCACTGCACTCTGGCCTGGGCAACAGAGTAAGACCCTGTCTTAAAAAAATATTCAGAGATGTGAACACATAAACATGGATTCTCACTGCAGCATCAATTCTCACAGGAAAAAAATCCTGTAAGTGCTCATCTCCAGGGAATGGATTAAATAACATGTGATAGAACCACATAAAAGAATATATGAAGCTGCTAAAAAAGCATGTTGCATGAAAACTACACAATGCTGCTTAGAGAAATAAAGGAGACTTAAATAAGTGGAAATTTTATTAATGGGTCAGAAGATTCAAAATTGTTAGAAGTCATTCCAAAGAAATGAAAGCCTATGTCCATAAAAACACTTGTATACAAATGCTCATAGCTGCTTTACTTATAATAGCCAAACTCTGAACAACTCAAATGGCCATCAACAAATGGATAAACAAACTGTGGTAAGGCTTATGGTGAAATACTACTTGGCAATAAAAAGTGATGAAATAGTGACACATGACATGGATGATTCTCAAATAATTATGCTAAGTGAAATAAGTCAGATCCCCTCCTAATCAAAGAGTACATGCTGTATGAGTCAATTTATAGACAATTACGGACAATGAAAACAATTATATGTTGTCAGAAAGTGACCCATGGTTGCCTGGGTGAGGGGCACAGGGAGAGAGAGGAGGGAAGGACTATAAAGAGGCATTAAGAAGCTTTGAGGGAGGCTGGGCATGGTGGCTCACACCTGTAATCCTGGCACTCTGGGAGGCCGAGGTGGATCTATCACTTGAGGCCAGGAGTTCAAGACTGGCCTGGCCAACATAGGGAAACACTGTCTCTATTAAAATTAAAAAAAAAAATTAGCTGGGTGTGGTGGCACACGCCTGTAGTTTCAGCTACTCAGGAGGCAGAGGCACAAGAATCACCTGAACCTGGGGGGCAGAGGTTGCAGTGAGCTGAGATCACACCATTGTCCTCCAGCCTGGGTGACAGAGCAAGACTCT